TTAGATTCCACATATAAGTGAGATCATACAATATCTGTCTTTCTATGTCTGGCTTATTTCACTTAACATAATATCCTCCAGGTCCATCCATGTTACAACAGAATTCCCTCTTTTTTTAAGGCTGAAAATATTCCATTGTGTGTGCATGTGTGTGTGTGTGTGTTTCTAAATCTTTCATCCTTTGATAGACACCTAGGTTGTTTCCATATCTTGGTGATTGTGAATAATGCTGTATTGAATGTGAGAGTTCAGATGTCTTTACCAGGTGGTGATTTCATTTCTCTTGGGTATATATCCTGAAGAGGAATTGCTGAGTCATATTTCTAACTTCTTTGGGAGCCTCCATACTGTTCTCCGTAATGGATGCATCAATCTGCATTCCCACCAACAGTGTACAAGGGTTCATTTTTCTCCACACTCTTCCCGACACTTGTTATCTCTTGTCTTTCTGATAATAGCTATCCTAACAGGTGTGAGGTGGCATCTCAGCATTTCCCTGATGACTTGTGATGTTGAGCCCCTTTTCATGTACCTGCCAACCCTTTTCATATCCTCTTTAAAGAAATCCTGATATTCAAGTCCTTTGACTATTTTTAAATCTAGTGGCAGTGTATATGTTTTCTCACTATTGAGTTGTATGGGTTTTATACAAATCATGGATATTAACCCTTTATCTCATTTATTATTTCCAAATATTTTTTCCCAGTCTGTTGGTTATCTTTTCATTGTGTCAATTAATTTCTTTGCTACCAAAAGCTTTTTAGTATGATGTAGTTCTATTTATGTATTTTTGCTTTTCTAGCCTGGACTTTTGTTGTGATATCTAAGAAATCACTGTCAAAGTCAACGTCAAGCAGCTTCTCCTGCTTGTTTTCTTTTAGGAGTTTTATAGTTTCAGTTTACATTTAAGTCTTCCATCTTTTTTTTAAGCATAATATGGTTTATTCATTGACTTCCTGACATATCTTTGTAATACTTTTACCTACATTTTTAGTTATGTATTTTTGATGGCTTCTTTATACAACAATATGACATTTTGAAGTATTTTCTTTTTTATATCATCTCATTTTAAGTTTTATTTCAGATTCAGAGGGTACATGTACAGGTTTGTTACATTGGCATATTGCTTGATGCTGAGGTAGTGAGCACAGTACCCCATAGGTAGTATTTCAACCCTTTCTCCCCTTTTTCCTCCCCTTCCTAGTAGTCCCCAGTGTTCATTGTTGCCTTCTTTATGTCCATGTGTACCCAATGTTTATCTCTTTCTAATACATAAGAATATGAGGTATTTGGTTTTCCATTTCTGAATTAATCACTAGGATAACAGCCTCCACCTGCATCTATGTTGCTGCAAAGGCCATGATTTCATTCTCTCTTTTTTATTGTAATTTTTTTTTCTGTTTTGAACTTTTATTTTAGGTTCCAAAGTACATGTGTAGGTTTGTTACATGAGTGAACATTGTGTGTTGCTCAGGTTTTTAATGTATGAATGATCTCGTTACCCTAGCAGTGAGTATAGTACCCCATAGGTATTTTTTCAATCCTGCTGCCCTCCCAATCTCCCCGCTCTAGTAGTCCCCGGTGTCTCTTGTTCTCATTTTTATATCAGTGTGTACTCAGCGTTTCACTCCCACTTTTAAGTAAAAACCTGCAGAATTTAGAGTTTTGTTCCTGTGTTAATTCATTTAGGATAATGACCTCCAGTTGCATTCTTGTTGCTGAAAAGGACATGATTTCATTTTTATGGCCGTGTAGTATCCCATGGTGTATATGTACCACATTTTTTAAAATTCAGTCCATGGTTGATGGGCATCTAGGTTGATTCCACGTCTATGCTATTGGGAATAGTGCTGCAATGAACATATGAGTGCATGTGACTTTATGATAGAACGATTTGTTTTCTCTTGGGTATATACCCAGTAATGGCTTACTAGGTTAAATAGTAGTTTTAAGTTCTTTGAGAAATCTCCAAACTGCTTTCCACAGAGGCTGAACTAATTTACATTTTCATCAGTAGAATGTTTCCTTTTCTCCACAGCCTCATCAGCATCAGTTATTTTTTGTCTTTTTAGTCATTCTGATTGGTGTGAGATGATATCTCACTGTGGTTTTGATTTGCATTTCTCTAACGATTAGGGATGATGTGCATTTTTTTCATACATTTGTTGGCCACATGCATGTCTTCTTTTGAGAAGTGTCTGTTCATGATTTTTGCCCATTTTAATAGGATTAGTTTTATGCTTGTTGAAATTGTTTAAGTTCGTTATAGATTATGCATATTAGACCTTTGTCAGATGTATGGTTGGCAAATGTTTTCTCCCACTCTGTGGGTTGTCTGCTTCGTCTGTTCTTTGGTGTTCGTTACTAAAGAGTTACTGTGTTTCTTTGGTGGTGTCATGTTTTCTTGCTTTTTCATGTTTCTTGTGTCCCTACTTTGATGTCTGCATGTCTGGTGGATCATTCACCACCTCTGAACGTTACAGAGTGGCTTTAATAGGAAAGGCTTTCACCTGCAGATGGGTCTTAGTGTACTCATTGGGACAGGTGTGGTGGCTCTACTTCCTAATAGATGCAGTGGGAGGAGTGTGTCATGTGGACCCCAAGTGTCAACTCCTCTGGGAGGAGCATAGTCATGTGGACCCCAAGAAGCTCCCTGGGGTGGGTTTTGCACCTACGACAAGTGCAGGAGTTTTCAGTGGTGAGAACTATAGGTGTCCAATATGGTGACAGAGGCTGCAGAGGGCTTACTTACCTTTTTTTCTGCAGTGAGAAGTCTTTCCTGGTTCTGACTTGATCCCAACTGGGGGAGGGGGTGGCAGAGGCAAGGTGTTTCCTTCTGTTCTCTATAAGGCCATCCTGGGTTTCTATGCTCTACAGAGTTTCTGCTTCTCCTTTGTTGTACTCTCGTGCCCTCCTTTAGTTATTCTCATCAAGATGTAATTTTTCAGTCATACTTTTGGCTGTCCTTGTGTGGGATGAGCACTAAAGGCTTCTAGTGTAAATCAGCTTGCTAATATTACTCCAGTATGACCATTTTAACACTAATTCTTTCACTACATAAACATGGGCTATCTTTTCATTGCTTTGTGTCTTAAATTTCCTTCATCAACGTTTTATAATTTTCAGCATACTGATTTTTTACTTCTTTGGTTACATTTATACCTAAGTTGTTTATTCTTTTTGAAAGTTTTGGAAATTTTTTAAATAATTAATAATTATTTGAAATAATTATTTAATAAAGTTATTTTTTTATTATATTTTTTTGAGATGAAGTCTCGTACTGTCACCCAGGCTGGAGTGCAATGGCGTGATCTCGGCTCACTGCAACCTCCACCTCCCAGGTTCACGCAATTCTCCTGTCTCAGCCTTCTGAGTAGCTAGGATTACAGGTGCACACCACCACACCCAGCTAATATTTTGTATTTTTAGTAGAGACAGGGTTTCGCCATGTTGGCCAGGCTGGTCTCAAACTCCTGACCTCATGATCCACTTGCCTCAGCCTCCCCAAGTGCTGGGATTACAGGCGTGAGTCACTGTGCCTGGCTAAAGTCATTTCCTAATAATTAAAATGGTTAATTATTTTAACTATTTTCATTTTCATGGCTGTGTAGTATCCCATGGTGTATATGTACCACATTTTTTAAAATTCAGCCCACGGTTGATGGGCATCTAGGTTGATTCCATGTCTATGCTATTGTGAATAGTGCTGCAATAAACATACAAGTGTATGTGACTTTATGATTTTAAGTGATTATTTAGTAATAATTTTAAAATAAACTCCCAAGTATATGGTCCCCTAATATTTGACAAGCGTGCCAAGAATGAATACAAAATAAAAAAGGACAGTTTCCTCAATTAATAGTGTTAGAAAAACTGGATATCCACATGCAAAAGACTGAAATTGAAACCTTATATCACTCATGAAAATTAAAATGTATTAAAGACTTAAATGTAAGGCCTAAAACCACAAAATTCATAGAAAGAAAAATAGGAAAAAAGCCACTTGATATCTGCCTGGGCAATGATTTTTTTAATAGCTGTAAGAAGAGAAGCTCCTGTGCACATGGCACTGAGAGTGGCATGGAGTCTGCAGGCAGAGGTCTGCACCCTCGGTGCCTGCGGCACCCTGCCTGCAGAAGCTCTGGTGGCTGAGGGAGGGTGCCTTCCAAACACGTTCTGCTTTCAGTGCGTAAATTCACAGAGAAATATGAATGCATAATAACAGAAAATGGTATTGGAACAGTGGGAATCAGCAATTTTGCACAGGAATCTTTGGGAGCTGTTGTTTACTGCAGTCAGCCTGCAGTTGGGACAAAATGGAACGAACAAGATGAGTTTGCTGCTTTGGAAAATATGAAAGCTACTAATGAACTCTTTACTGCTTAATCAGGAAAAGTAACTGAAATTAATGAAACCCTTGAAGAAAATCCAGTTGTCAACAAATCTTGTTATGAAGATGATTGGCTGATCATGTTGACACTTAGTAACCCTTCAGAACTAGATGAACTACAGTTCACACCTGTAATCCCAGCATTCTGGGAGGCCAAGTGTTATGAAGATGATTGGCTGATCATGTGACACTCAGTAACCCTTCAGAACTAGATGAACTACAGTTCACACCTGTAATCCCAGCATTCCGGGAGGCCAAATGTTATGAAGATGATTGGCTGATCATGTGACACTCAGTAACCCTTCAGAACTAGATGAAGTACAGCTCATGCCTGTAATCCCAGAACTTTAGAAGGCCAAGGCTGGCACATTACCTGAGGGCAGGAATTCGAGACCAGCCTGGCCAACATGGTGAAACCCTATCTCTATTAAAATATAAAAATTAGCCGGGCATGGTGGCACATGCCTGTAATCCCGGTTACTTGAGGGTCTGAGGCAGGAGAATCACTTGAACCCGGGAGGCGGAGGTTGCAGTGAGCCGAGATCATGCTGCTACACTCCAGCTGGGGCAACAGAGCAAGACTCTGTCTCAAAAAACAAAAAAATATTTCTAATTATTGCAGATAAAATATGCTTCTTTTTCACAATACCCTATGATTTTTAGACTAGGCTCTAGTATTCAGAATTCATGAAATTATCTATGGTAAAACCTAGTTATTAATATTACGTAATTCAAGGCTAACATTGTTGTCTTAAGCCTTATGTAATACTGTCACTTGCTTACATCTATATCTGGATTTGGTTCAAAATACTTAATCATCTTTCATTGGAAGTAATTGGGAGTGGAGAGCTTTTTGCTGATGGATGTACAGTGTCAGATGAAGAACAACACTATCTTAATTTTGCAAGCTAGTACATTTGCTAGTGCTAGTTTTATACAATGAAGCAACAGCTTTGCAGCAAAATAAGAAGTAAAATATTCAACTTCATTTAAATAAAAGAAAACCGGAAACAAAAGCAGAAATAGACAAATGGGATTGCATCAAAATAAAAAGCTTCTGCATAGCAGTGGGAACAATAAAAAAGTGAAAGGGCAGCCTACAGAATGGGAGAAAATATTTGCAAACTATGTATCTGACAAGGGGTTAATATCCAAAACATGTAAGACGGGGTGTCCAGTCTTTTGACTTCTCTGAGCCACACTGGAAGTACTGTCTTGGGCCACACATAAAGTACACTGACATGAACAACAGCTAATGAGCTAAAAAAAATCTCATAATGTCTTAAGAAAGTGGTGTGGGTTTACCACCTTGATTATGATAATCATTTCACAATATATGTAAACCTAAAATATGTACAATTTTATTTGTCAATTATACATCAATATAGCAGGGATGAAGAAAAAACCATATAGGAGGAGAAACCACATCACATAATTTTATTGGTAAATAGTTCTTTAGCAACCAGACAAAAATTGAGAGAGACTCATGTTCTCTCCATGTGTGTACAATAGGGGTCTCCAGTACAGTCTCTGGCACATGAAAAAATGCTCAATAAATGCTCATTTTAGGAAAAAGTGAATCAATCAATGTACAGACCAATTATCTTGTAAGTAGAATAGTTGACAGCCCACCTACATTCTATGGACCTCCCTTACACATAAATAAGAAGAGCTTATTATCTATCCCTATAATGACAGATGCCAATCCAACCAGCTGTTCATGGAGAATGTTCAGTTCATAAATGGATCGCCATCATCTCACAAACTGACCTTTGACGATCTTCACAAGGAACGTCATTCAAGCCCCAGCTTCTGAGATCCCGACGAAAATTTAGCAAAACGCAGCGCTCCTTCGTATCACTGGGCTCACCTTGATGCCAGAATCTGAAAAGGACAAAAAGGATAAGGACATTTCTTCCAACAGAGCTTTGAAAAGGGTTAAAGACAGGGGCGAGGAGCTAGGGATGAACTTCATGGCACTTAGGGTCAGATATGCCCAAATCCACCTTTCAGCCACTCATCATCCAGTTTCTCCTCTATCTGCATTTCTGGCATTTTCCCTGAAAACTTCCTATATCTCTCAATGTTCTCTATCTTACTGATTTGAATATCCCCACAGCAGATTTTCTAGAGATTCTCTTCTATTTGTCCATCCTTATGTCCTTTTTCTATGGGTCCGTCAACCTATAGGGTGTTCTCATATGATGAAAAGATTTCACCCTGATCCCACTTGTCAATACAGTTTTTTTCTTTTCCTTTTTTTAATGCACTGTTTTTAAAGTGTCTCTAGACTACAACTAGTAAAATCTTTTGGATCTTCTACTTATCCCTGTTACCTGATAAGTAATTTAATTTCCCTGATTCTCAGTTTTTCTATCTAAAAACTGGAAACTCGAGTAATATGACTACATATTTCATACAGTGGATATGGGATCAAAGGTGGTAATCCAGTAAAGAACTTGAGTTTTTAAATAATTTCATAAATATGAGATATAAAAGTATCAGAATTTAGCATTTTTGCTTCATAAGAAATATGAAATCTTTAACCTGATTGGGTGTGGTGACACACACTTGTCATCCTAGCAACTGAAAAGGCTTAGGTGGGAGGATCACTTGAGCCCGGGAGTTCAAGGCTGCAGGGGGTCATGATTGCACCACTGCCCTCAGCCTGGGTGACAGAGTAAGACTCTGTCCCAAAAAAAAAGAAATATTAAATCTTAACAATTGATTATGGTCTTAATCAACATGGATTTTCACTATGTAGAGACAGGTAAATATACTTGTTGGTTACAAACACAGTAAGATCCCCCTTGATTTGAGAACTATTTTTGACACCACTGGGTGACCCAAGCTCAATTTCCTCATATCTACAGTGGGAAAAATGTGTACCTCATAGGGTTCTTGTACAAATTAAATGACATAATGAAATTATTTAACCTAGTGCCCAAGAGCTAAAAGAAGAGTCAGCTGTTCTAATTTTATAACTGATGGCTAGAATACCCTAAGCTCTCTGCATGGTCCAGGACAAAATATTCTTTTATCTCATTCTATACTCACGTGGCACTTTCGTTGTATGGTGTCTGATCAACCCATTGCCAATGTCGCTGACCTTCTGGATCTGAGAGTCCCACAAAATAAGCAGACTTTTGTTCCAGATTCTGGAAGATGAACTTCTGAGGGGTGGGGAAAAAAAGGAGTCACAGCCTTTAGAGTACTCATCTTGAACTGAATTCTTAATACCTTAGGCCGGGCACGGTGGTTCACGCCTGTAATCCCAGCACTTTGGGAGGCCGAGGCGGGCAGACCACGAGGTCAAGAGATGGAGACCATCCTAGCCAACATGGTGAAACGCCGTCTCTACTAAAAATAGAAAAATTAGCTGGGCATGCTGGCGCGCCTGTAGTCTCAGCTACTCGGGAGGCTGAGGCAGGAGAATTGCTTGAACACGGGGGACGGAGGTTGCAGTAACCAGACATCACACCACTGCACTCCAGCCTGGTGACTGGTGACAGAACAAGACTCTGTCTCAAAAAAAAGAAAAACCTACCTTAGAGAAATGCGAAGAAAAGGAGAGGATCAAGCAATAGCCACATGGGAGCTCTACATAGGAATTCAGGTCTCTGGCTGAGCAGGGCAGAATCAAAGATATCACTTGTGAGCATGATGTTCAGGACATATGGAAGCAATGTCTTTTTTTTTTTTTTTTTTTTTTTTTTTGAGACAGAAGTCTCACACTCTCGCCCAGGCTGGAGTACAGTGGCATGATCTCGGCTCACTGCACCTGTGCCTCCCAGGCTCAAGCAATTCTCTTGCCTCAGCCTCCCCAGGAGCTGGGACTACAGGTGTGTGCCACAACGCCTGGTTAATTTTTGTAGTTTTAGTAGAGGCAGGGTTTCACCACGTTGGCCAAGCTGGTCTTGAACTCCCAGCCGCAAGTGATCTGCCAGCCTCGGCCTCCCAAAGTGCTGGGATTACAGGCATGAGCCATCATGCCCACCAGTATGGAAGCAATTTCCATGATCAAAATGAATTCTCATCTCAGGTTTACTTCCCCCTTTTCTTCACTAAGAGATTACATTCTTCAAAGTTATACATGAGAAAACTTTGGCAGATTCATTTTCCTTTCATAACTTCAGAGATTCTTTAATTTCATTCCTGAATGTTGTGATTCATCATTATTTAACTTTATTTATTTTCCCTATTCAATTTAATACCTCCTCTCTGCTAAGTAGTTAATCATGTATAAAACATTCGCACGTTGAAATAACAAATTGATATTTCAGACTGAAATATTTTCACCCTTCCATTCAGCCCTCATACATCTTTAATGCCACAAATTCTTTTGGGGAGGTTAGTTTTACTGAAGCAGGAAGAAGGTATGGAATATAAAGGTGTTGGAGCCCTTTCTATTTTATTGAAAGCCTTCTGCCACAGCACAAATATCCCAAAATAACAAAAACCTCCTTCTTAGCCAAGAGAGATACACAAAGATCAGGCAGGGCTCACAGCCCCATTATCTATTAGAAAGTACCTGCTCTTCCTGAGTGTTTATCACCAGCAGGTGAGCCTCCATTCCAGCGCACTTCTTCTCACTCTCCTGCCAAGATGCTGATTCAGTAGAAATAAAGTAGCAGTTGGAACTAAACAACTTCCAGTTCTTCGGGCAACAGTTCCAGGCTATCCCTGTATTGGGAAGAGGGACACATACTCTTCCCTAGAGTGCAATATAAATAATGCTTTTAAAAGTGTGTGGATTATTAGAATTAAAAGCCAAGGGAGACCACATAGAAGCTGGAACTCCCATCTCCACTCCGACGTAACCAAGAGCTCCTGCCCCTCAGGTGTCAGGGAAGCCAAGTCTACCTCAATCAGGCAGTAATGCGGAGGCAGGGCCCCTTTTCTCCTGCTGACGTGGTATCTGAAAAGGCCAGCTATTAATAAAATATGTTTAAATAAGATCCGGACTCTGAGAATATAATGCAAAAATGTCCAGAGTGCAATAGAAAATCACTCATTATACTAAGAACCAGTAAGTTTTCTAATTTAATAAAAAATAATAATCAAGACAACAAAAATGCTAGAATTATCTGACAAAGATTTTAAAGCAGCCATTGATAAAAATGCTTCAACAAGGAGATACAAACAGGCTTGAAACAAATGAAAAACTAGAAAGCTTCAGCAAAGAAATAGAAGATATAAAGAAAAACCAAATGGGAATTTTATAATTGAAAAATATGATAACCAAAATAAAAAGCTCAGTGGATGGACTCAATAGCAGAATGAAGGAGATAGAGAGATTAGTGAATTGGAAGACAAAACAACAGAAACCATCAATTGAACAACAGAAACAAACTGAACAGAAAAGGCTGGGCACTGTGGCTCACGCCTGTAATCCCAGCACTTTGGGAGGCCGAGGTGGGCAGATCACCTGAGATCAGGAGTTTGAGACCAACCAGGCCAATATGGTCAAACACCATCTCTACTAAAAATATAAAAATTAGCTGGGCACAGTGGCGCACAGCTGTAATCCCAGCTACTCAGGAAGCTGAGGCAGGAGAATCACTTGAACCTGGGGGGCAGAAGTTGCAGTGAGCCAAGATGCCACCACTGCATGCCAGCCTGGGTGACAGAGCAAGACTCTGTCTGGGAAAAAAAAAAANAAAAAAAAAAAAAAAACAAAAAAAAGAAAGAAAGAAAAAGAAAAAAGAAAATGTTGTACATGTACACCATGGAATACCATGCAGCCATATGAAGGAACACGATCATGTCTTTTGCGGGAACATGGATGAAGCTGAAAGCCATTATCCTTAGCAAACTAACATAGGAACAGAAAACCAAATACTGCACATTCTGACATTTAAGTGGGAGTTAAATAATGAGAAATGGACACAAAGAGGGAAGCAACACACACAGCGGCCCACTTGAGGGTGGAGGGTGGGAGGAGGAAAAGGATCAGGAAAAAAATAACTATTGGGTTCTAGGCTTAGTACTTGTTTGACAAAATAATGTGTGCAACATACCCCTGTGACGTGAGTTTACTTATGTAGCAAACCTGCACATGCACCCCTGCACCTGAAAGTTAAAAAAAAATCGGTTAACTTTGTTCAGAGTATGTGTGTTGAGAGTAGCTTACGTAGCAATAACAAATAGGCCCCAAAGTATGAGTAGGTTAAAGTACAAAAAAGTGTATTTCTCTTTCACATGTCAGTTGCAAGTGGTTTTCAGGTTGCCAAGGCACCTCTCATGCATATGATCATTCAGGAACTGATGTCTGCTTTGCCACCTTTTTTATGACTTCAGCATTGTGTTACATTTCCCAATCAGCCCAAGGAGGAAAAGCTGAATGTAGACACATCACTCCTGCTCACCTTGCACTGGCTAGAATTTAGTCACACGGTCACCCCTAAGTGCAAGAGAAACGAGGGAATGTAGGTTATCTGTACCCTGAGGATGCAGAGAAAGTGGGTTTGGGGATCAGCTAGCCAGTCAGTGCAGAAGAACATCATTTTAGTCAAGAAACAGAGCTATAAAAAGGGTTGTGGTAAAAATGTTAGAAGCGGTTTCAGAAGAAATGAAAAGATTGTAAGAGAACAATCTGTGATGTACCATGTTGCAAGAAAATGTAACTCTGAAATATCTGTCAAAATAAGGGCTGAATCTGGTCAGGCACGGTGGCTCACACCTGAAATACCAGCACTTTGGGAGGCTGAGGTGGGCAGATCACAAGGTTAGGAGCTCGAGACCAACCTGGCCAACGTGGTGAAACCCTGTCTCTACTAAAAGTACAAAAATTACCTGGGTGTGGTGGCAGGCACCTGTAGTTCCAGCTACTCAGGAGGCTGAGGCAGAAGAATCGCTTGAGCACAGGAGGCGGAGGTTTTATGGTGAGCTATGCTCCAGCCTGGGTGACAGAACAAGACTCTGCCTGGGAAAAAAAAAAAAAAAAAAAAAAAAAAAAAAAAAAAAAAAAAAAAAAAAAAAAAAAAAAAAAAAAAAAACATGCACACACACAAAACTAGACAGAAAGAAAAATAAACAGACTCTTGTAAAGTGACCCCAAATGTGTATAGGCCAAACAAAGCTGCAAAATGTATGAAGCAAAATTGATACAACTGAAAGGAGGAATTGACAAATATGCAGTTTTAGGTAGATACATCAACACATCTCTCTTAAAAACTGACAGAACTACACAGAAAATCAGCAAGAACACAGAAGAACTTAAAAGCATCATCAACTACCAGGATCTAATCCACATTTATAGAACATTCCACCCAACAACCAAATACCCATTCTTTGCCAGTGCCCCTGGAACATGTGCTAAAACAAACCACCATTTCCTGGGACATTAAATAACCTCAACAAATTTTAAATTGCTTAAATCATATCATCTTCTCCAACAACAGTGAAAACAAACCAGAAATTAACAAAAGAGCCAGGCGCGGTGGCTCACGCCTGTAATTCTAGCACTTTGGGAGGCTGCGGTGGGTGGATCACCTGAGGTCAGGAGTTCAAGACCAGCCTGGCCATCATGGTGAAACCCCATCTTTTAAAAATTAATTAATTAATTAATAAAAGAAAGAACACAGGAAAATCTCCATACACTTGAAACTAAACAACACACTTCTAAATAATCCATCAGTCAAAGGAGATGTCTAAGTGGAAAGCTTTTAAAATCCATTGAACTGAATGAAAATGACAATACAAATTATCAAAATTCATAGAACACTGTTCTTCAATCAAAGGAATTAGGGTTCCTCAAAGAAATATCTGATTTTAGGATAGGGACATGAAATGTACAATGTGAGTCTCAAGCATTTTGCAGTCCCAGAAAGTGAGGAAGTGCTAACCCAAAACAAAAGAAAAAACACATTGTGGTGATATGTTAAAGGGTCACAGGAGTCAAATGAAAGAGTTTCCAATGTCCAAAGCTGGAACTACAAAATAAAGTAGGATTGGATTGTAATCCAAAATTTAAAATAAATATCCATGAGTTGGACATATGGTGGGAAACAACACACAACGGGGCCTGGGTGGAGGGAGCAGGCGTAGGGAGGGAGGGCATCAGGAACAATAGATAATGGATGCGGGGCTGAACATCAGGGTGATGGGCTGATCTGTGCGGCAACCACCACGGCACACGTTTACCCATGAAACAAACCTGCACATCCTGCACAGGCACCCCAGAACTTAAATAAAATTTGAAGCAAAAAATATATATATATCCATGAGGACATGCAGATATAAATAAATGACTGGAAAAATAAATAAATGGAATAAAAGAGACAAATATCACCTGGACAAAATTTCAGATAAATTATATAGATACTTGTGATGGTTAATTTTATGTGTCAACTTATCTGGCACACAGTGCTGAGATATTTGGTCAAACATTCTGGATATTTCTGTGAGGATGTTTTTGGATGATATTGACATTTAAATTGCTGGACTCTGAGTAAAGCAGATTGCCCTCAATAATGTGAGTAGACTTCATTTAATCAGTTGAAGATCTGAATGGAACAAAAAGAAGACCTCAGAGCAAAAAGAAATTCAGCAGACTGCCTTTGGACTTCATCTGCAGCATTGGCTCTTCAAGGTTCTGCAGCAGATGGTCTTTGGACTCAAACTGCAACTCTTACTCCTGAGTCTCCAGTCTGCTGACCATGACTGATACATACCCCACCCTCATGAATGGAGAGAATAACTCCCCAATCCTTAATTGTGGGCTATGCCTTCCAAAGAGTGTAGTATGGAAAGCAGAGGGTGGGGAGAGGGAAAGAGTAATTTTACAGTGGAGAAACTTGATAAACACTGCCTTAGTCAAGTGATCAAGATCAACATTGATAGTCAATAATCATTTTTTTTTTTTTGAGACGGAGTCTTGCTCTTGTTGCTCAGGCTGGAGTGCAATGGCACACTCTTGGCCCACTGTAGTCTCTGTCTCTTGAGTTCAAGCGATTCTCCTGCCTCAGCCTCTTGAATGGCTGGGATTACAGGCACCCACCACCACACCCAGCTAATTTTTTGTATGTTGGTAGAGATGGGGTTTCATAATGTTGGCCAAGCTGGTCTCGAACTCCTGACCTCAGGTGATCCACCCTCCTCGGCCTCCCAAAGTGCTGGGATTACAGGTGTGAGCCACTGCACCTGGCCTAGAATCATTTTGATAATACATACCCTTGATAGGATGTAATGAAAATATCATTTTACATCTGCAACCTTCCTCCCAAAAACCAATAATCCCAGTCTAATTATTGGAAAAACATCAGACAAATTCTAATGGATAGACATTCTATAATATTCCTGACCAGTACTGCTCAAAACTGTGAAGGTCATCAAATATTAGGAAAATCTGAAAAACTACCATAGCGAACAGGAGCCTAAAGAGACATGAAAACTCAATGTAATGTGTTGTTCTGGATGGGGATCCTATTACAAAAAAGAAACATTAGGTGAACACTCAGGAAATCTCAAAATTGTGAATTTTAATTAATAATAATATACCAATATTGGTTAATTAATTGTAACAAATATGTTCGTGTATGATGTTAATAATGGGGACAGCATGTGTGCAGAGCAGGGGTAAAATGAGATCTCTTTGTATTATATGCTCAATTTTCCTGTAAATATAAAACTGTTCTTAAAAATAATCTATTGGCCAGGCACGGTAGCTCACTCCTGTAATCCCAGCACTGGGAGGCTGAGGTGGGAGGAATGCTTGAAGCCAGGAGTTCAAGACCAGCCTGGGCAACATGGCAAGACCCTCTCTCTACAAAAATTCAAAAAGAAAAAAATAGCCAAGTGTGGTGGTGCATACCTTTGATCCCAGCTACCAGGAGGCTGAGGTGGAGGATTACTTGGAGCCCAGGTGATCAAGGCTATTGTGAGCTGCAGTCACACCACTGTATTCCAGCCTGGGCAACAGAGTGAGACCCTGTCTCAAAATAATAATAATAATCTATTAATTTAAAAAATTTAAATAGGGCCGGGCGCGGTGGCTCAAGCCTGTGATCCCAGCACTTTGGGAGGCCGAGGCGGGTGGATCACGAGGTCAAGAGATCAAGACCATCCTGGTCAACATGGTGAAACCCCGTCTCTACTAAAAATACAAAACATTAGC